CCAACGTTCCTATCCTCAAGAAAGCCCGTCCGGACCAACCTCCACATCGTCTCCAACCACCCACACCAGCTCCGCCTATGCCATCCTCTACCACCACCTCCAGCACAACACATTGGGCTCGAGATTGCTGTGCCCCGCCCGCATTGCAATGGCAAACCACTGCCCTACCGGCTCTTCCAGGGCTCCGGCCCCACTGAACCCTACACCACTCGCCACACCACCACATCCATTGCCGCTTCCCACACCACCACCACTACATTTTCTCGCACCACCACCGGCATTCGATCCGTTCTACTTTCCTCCTCCCACCCATCCAGCACCACAACCTCTCTTTCCTCTTCCACCCACTCCAACCGCTGAAGCCACGGTAGCCCATCATCAGACCGGCTAGTGTTTTTCACCCCTTACAAATCTCCGCATTTTTTCTCGCGGACAAAATGCACCGACTGTACTCCTTCGTCTTTTCTTCGTTTTCCTTCCTTTTTCCCTTCCTTCCTTCCTTCCTTCCTTCCTTTTGTACGCTCAAACCAAAAAAATATCCCTCTCGCGTGATCAAGACATTACTTTTCATCCGCAGCCATTTCGCAACCAGCTATCCACTTTTTTGCTCCCTTCCATCTCAGCCATGAGTGGTCCACCACCACCTGCAGAAGAGGGCATCGATACGAGTTTCTGGGTTGGGCTTATGCCCACCAACCAGGGCCTTCCGTTCCAACAACAGGTGCCCATATCACTCAGCCAACTCATTGAGCGATACCCCACCCATATGAACATGGCCGAGGCCCAAGTGCGCCGGGCCGCCGGGCCCTCACCATTGTTGACACCATCGGCCACTTCCCAGCAAGGGCTTTCCTCCATGACCCAACAATCGACATCAACACTCACCCCATCGAACCACACATCCACCCCATCTTTCCACCTCGCTCCCGGCCAACCTGTCACTATCACCAACAACATTCCCTATTGCCTTCCCACAACCACCACCTATTACACAACACAGCACCACCCAAACCTCCCCACCACTTTCTCCTCTTCGACCCCATCAAGAACAGCAAGCCACGCCTCCACCACGCCGCTTGCACATTCAGCAACAGACTGACGGCAACGTTGCTTTCACCCAAACAACACAGTCCCACATCACACCTCCCCTCACTCCCGACACTCCTTCGCAGACCGAGATTTACGCCCTCCCACTCTGAAGGGACATGCAGCAATAGACTGCCAGCGATTTTTGAAGCCGAAACACTGCCGACCACGCTCCACCTGCGCCGACGACGGCACCGTGTGTGTGCCCCACTCTGTTTCTCAGAGTTCTCTCTCTTTTCAAGCAGGGGGCCAGCGGCCGACAAGCAAACGCTGGCTAACAAAGCTATGCTTGCTCGGTGGATGCGGTCAACTATGCGGTCAGAGACGTCTGACCGTGTACCTGCAAAGAAACTGTTGCTCAAGCTGTCCACTCTCTTGTTTGTTTTTCATGTTCCTTTTCATGCTATTCCCCTAAACCTTCCCCTCCGGCGCGTTCCGCTGACTTTGAATTCACAGCTGCAGTCATGCGTAAACTTTGTTCAACTTTCAATTTGACCTGACCTTGCGCCTTTCCGTTCCATCACCTTTTTCGACTTGGGAACTGAGCTAACTGAAAACCCATGTCAGAGTGAGGTCTATAAGCAAAAAGTCTAAAGATCTAGACGCATTGGGGTAGTGAGTGTGGGTGAGTGAGTGGGTGTGAGTGTGAGTGAGAGTGAGTGAGAGTGTGAGAGTGGGAGGGTGAGTGGGTGCGAGTGTGAGGAGTGTAAGTGGGAGTGGGAGAGTGAGTGGGTGTGAGTGCGAGTGTGAGTGAGAGTGAGAGGTGAGAGTGAGTGTGAGTGTGGATGAAAGTGAGTGTGAGTGGGAGTGCGAGTGGGAGTGAGTGTGAGTGTGAGTGTGAGCGAAGAGTGAGTGTGAGTGTGAGCGTGTGAGTGAGTGAGAGTGAGGGTGAGAGTGAGAGTGAGTATCTGAACAAAGTGCTGCGCATGCGCCGACATCTGCACTGGGAAAATCACCAAGTGCTGCGCCTGCCACGAAATCTGCACTTCGAGGAGAGGTTCACCACTAGTGCTGTCTGCCACGAAATCTGCACTTCGAGGTTCACAAAATACTGCGCCTGCCACGAAATCTGCACTTCGAGGTTCACCAAGTGCTGCGCCTGCACTTCGAGGTTCACCAAGTGCTGTGCCTGCCACGAAATCTGCACTTCGAGGTTCACCAAGTGCTGTGCCTGCCACAAAATCTGCGCATCGAGGGTCACAGAGTGCCGTGCCTGCCACGAAATCTCCAAAAGTCACGATTCACATGATTCACTGCACCTGTCTCTGAGCTCCTCGACGATCACCACCATGTCCAAAGTGCTGCACCTGCCACGAAACTGCACTTCGAAGTATCCGATCCCATGCACCTGTCACGAAAAGTCGACTTTGAAGCACGAAAACACGAGGTTTCCCTTGCGCCTGCCACGAAAAGTGACCATCATGTGCAGAAATGCGCACGACACCACAACGAGAGCGCAGTCGCTAGAAGCACCCGCCGCGGGCCCCCAAGGCTTTGCGAGCCTGCGCAGTCGAAATGCACGTTGACGATGTCGAGAGGCATGAATGTACTGTAATAGCAGCGAATTAGCATGAATTAGCTGCACACGCCCGCGCGCTTCAGCGATCTAAGCATCAGCTGCCTTTCACGTACCGTAAGAACCCCTAGTGTGTCCACACTGTTTGGAGAATAAGTCCAGAAGTAGGTTTGGCCCAATGACTTGATTACAAATCGACTCACTGAGATAGAAGTGGACAATAACCCCTAGCAAGACGTCGTTTATTCCAGCAGCGTTGGGGCGGTTCCTGTTAGTCTAAGCGTACCTCCAGATACGCTGGTCCCATCCTTCAGTCTGGAACGGAACACAACACAGCCGACTTCTGGACGCGCACCTTCGCCTGCAAGATCCTCCTCAGTAACCAACGGCCTGGGGACAAAGTGTCCAGTCCAAATTTGACTGAACGGGACATGCTCGCGTGATCCAAAAAGGTCTTGCAAAACATCGAATGGCCACGGACAACCCGACGGAGGTCTGGCTTGATGCTTCGGACGGGCCCTTTCTGTCCTATATCCTTAGGTGCAGCGGCAAAATGACAAACAAAGCTACCAATGTCAACCCCCTTCCAACTCCCAAACCCTGAAGCATCAAACTCTGTGATTCTGCAAACCTGTGGTAGCAGGTTCCAAGCAATCTGCGAACCCTTCTTCAAAGAACCACATTCCCATCCTCATTATACAGCTCCAAGCCAACCCCAAGGTTGAGACTACTTACAGTGTATAAGTCAACTTGAAAACACTCAGGAAGCATCCCAGTTCACTATACCTACAAACTCTTTGAAATAGACCGCTGGGGCGGGCCCCTGCCCTCCCCTGCCTACCGAAGACCATACACTCGGCCAGGCCAATCCGTGACTGACCGGAGCGATCCAGCCCTTCACGACAGGGCCTTGGAACGAGGTGGTGGGCACGTGTCACCGCATTCCATGGCCATATATCAAGGGACCAAACGAGAAGTTCCAATTCATCTAAAAACAAACCAAATTGAAGGTAATTTTTCATACATGGCCATATGGCTTGGGTCTCTCCTATTACCAGGGCCTCAATGGATGATGATGGTTAGGTTGTAGGCCTTTCTCTAAAAAAGTTATTTTCTTGGTTGCTGACTGTTACAGGTAATGGGACACACTCAAGCCATAAAATTGCCATAATATGGCATCTCACTAATTAAGTCCCTACTAGCCCTCAAGTTTGATCTCATTTTTTGGGCTCAAAATCAACCAAGTAAGAGACGGACAACTTTTGAAGATCATGAAGAAACAGTGGCTCTGCTTGGTGGTGCCCCATGGATGGAACCAGCACCAATGAACCATCTCAAGCCAGCATTCCCATGTCCAGCGGCACGCCAGCCACTGCCGGCAAGAAGACGCCCGCCGAGGGACCTGGCGACCGCTGGGCTTTGTAGAGTTGTAGTATGTCGGCTGTGGTGGAAAGCGCCTTCCGAAATAAAAAACAAAAAGTAAACATTCTCAAGATTGAGCAGCTTTGGCCATGATTCCAAAGTTCATAGATTCATTGAGGTCTATGAACAAGGCGACTGGCTCTCACGGTTTCTTTTGTGCTTTCATGTGTTGGTCTCAATTTTGTGCTAGTTGTGACCTTCTCAATCATTCTTCGAGCACTCCTGGTCGAATTCAACGTAGTTGGGTTCACCGCGCATGGTGTTAGTAGTGGGAATTCGCGCAAAAGAAACACTTTGCGAGTGGCCTCCTTCCCTTCGGATGGTGATGTTGGCAGCCAAAGGCCGCTTTCTCCGAACATGCACCACGCACATGCGACCCTAGCCTTGCAAGCCGAGCAAATAGCCACCCTCTCGGAGGGCCACCAAATGAGCGGCTTCGCCTCGAGGCAGCCAACGAACCGCATCTGTGGAACCGCAAAATACAATGACATCCGAAGACCAAAAGGATCCAAAAGGTCTTGGCTCACCTCCACATCTTTCTGATCCATGCTCATGCAGCATGTCAATGAAAAACGTTGCACATACTCTTATCTGTATGTAATTATTCACTCCTTTAGAGTGAATTTGAGCAAAAGATGAAACTGACTCCTCACATTCTCCCCATCTCTTCGGGCTCAATTTGCTCCCGGTTAAGGAGAAGGCGAAAGGGCTTCCATACCACAAGGGCATCGAAGGTATCACTTCCAGGTGCCCGCTGCGCGCAAGCAGCGCAATATTCGGGCAGTTCTCTTCTCCGACGACCGTGCCAAACAAAAACGGGGGTGTTGTTTAAGTCTTCATCTATACGCTGGATGAAAGCACAGCGGAATGTCGAGCGCTCAGTCGCTTGGAAGAGTGTCTAGGCAAAAGACTCAGGTGGACTCCTGCGGCCCTAGGGCATCAACAAATGAAGCAGCTTCTTGTTACTAGTAGTAATGCCCTTTGTTACTAGTAGCGATGCCCTTCATCCACCTCATGCAACCATCATTTTGAAGGTTTGAGGCTGCGCAACTAGGAGCGCTGAGTCTCAACAAAAGTAGCCACACGATCTCTCAATCCTCCTCACCTCCAAAGGCGATGGAAGAACGTCGACCGTCACCTCAAGCGAGCAATCTTGATTGCCTCGAGCCTGTCGGATCGATAGCCGTCCACCAAGTAGAGGCTCCCACTCTCGGCAACACGGAGAAACCACGTGATTCCAGTTTGCCGAGGTACTTGAACAGCAAAGCATTCGGCCTGAGTGGCTGATAACACCGCTCATGGGAGGAGAAATGACCGGGGGAGTAGGCCGAGGTAGGCTAGTAGGCTAGCTGCCTGCTAGCTAGCTAGGTAGCTAGTAGGGAGAGGTAGCTACACCTACCAGTAAGCTACTAACTAGAGAGGACGCAGGATAGCGAAGACGCTTCTTCAAGGAAGCTCCCCAGGGGAAGCATCCTTGAAGAACCGCTCGCACTAACGGTTAGCTGGGCAGGTAGGTAGTAGAATCAAAGCTGCACCAGGAAAACCAATTCATCCACCTGTTAGTCTGGGCAGGCCCCATTCCAAGCTTCCTCCTATAAAAACTACCGCCACAGCATATAACTAACAAAGCTAGCAGTGAAAATGATCAAACACTATCAAACACCAAGCCCTGGAGAAACGGACGTGTGGCAAACATGAACCAAACAGAAAACAAAGTACAATCCATCATCACCTGGTTAGATCGTCGTGAAGTTGCGTTCATGTATGTGTCCTGGCCCCAGTGCTCTCTGATCTAAATCACTGAAACGAAGTAAAGTGATCGAGTCTTCCTGCGTGAACTGGGGCCTCAAGATCGTCCTTTGCACGGTTATACAACATGTATCTCTCTTGGGTTGGGACGAGGGTAACTACAAGGGCCCGGATCTGTTCAAAAATGGTGAAAAACAATCCTGTCTGTGCAACACCGTCTGTGCAACAATACAAAACCTATACTAGATACATGCTGGAACATCATCTTTTTAACATGGAGCATTGGACAGTTGTTCAGTCAACTTGGCTGGACTGGTGCCGCTACTTTGCCATGTCCCCAATCGATGGTGCCCTGGGCGTCAAAAAACTTGATTGGACAAGGCCTTTCCAATAGTTGTTCGAACAAAGGGCAACAAAAGACATCCAAACAAGGTAGCCCAAACAACGGACTCCAAAACTAAAGCAAATCCACAAGGCACAAGAAAAAAACAAGGCAAACAACGGCAAACAAATGCAGGGCGCTGCAAAATATATCAACAACAGCATCCGGCATCGTGAACACACACCGGATAAAAGGCGGAGAAATGGCTGACATCAAGGCAAACAAAGCGACCCATCCTTAAATCATCCTTGCTCCTTTAGTTTTCATGCCTTTATCCGTGCGCTTTTTTGATTTGCATTTCTTCGGGTTTTTCTTGTACTGCTCATTGAGCATTAGCAAAAAGAAAACTAACCACGCGCAGTTCAACGCACATTTTACATAATGGGTAAAACTAATAGCAAGACTTCCATCGGCTTCGTCACGACATCACATGAATCACGGATGCGCGGATCATCTTCCAAGAACTTCAACCGGAAGCACCTGCATATCTGCATATCCATACCATTCCATACCTATTGTCTCCAGAACCCATCCACACGGCAAACTTGCACAGAATCACCAAAAATAAGGCTGCACACCCAGGATCACCCAAATTTAGCCAGGTATCTGCTGGAAGGCTTGTTCCAAGCGTTCCTTCATGTCATTCGAGAGTTTGGACTTCTCGTCATAGCTTGCCGCCTGGTTCTCCGCACGCAGCTCAGCAGGGCTGCTAGACGAGAGAGAGAGCTGCAGCAGTTGCCAAAGCCGATTTCTGTCCTCGAAAAAGTACCTCAATGCAGCGACCAAACCTGTGAAAGGACAAAGCATCGTGCCACCATATACTGTACACGTACTGTGTATATTTTGTACATACCAAAAGAAACTTGTTAAATGCATATACATAAGAGCCACATGTGAGTTAGGACGTGCTGGTAGTGTTTTGATATATGCAACTGTTCTGGATATGTTTCTTGCTTTGTTGAATAGCTTGTAGGGCACTGTAAAGTCTCTCTTTCCTCTGTGCCACCCCAGCCGCCCCCCCCGGCGCGCTAGCATCAGGTGAAGACATATATAGACCCAGTACCAATACAAAGATGATGGAATACTGAATCGAAAACATTCAACCTCATACAGGCCCAGTACCAATACAAACATGATGGAATACTGAATCGAAAACATTCAACCTCATACGCACAACCAAACATACTAGTTATTCGCTTGTTTACTGCACATGAGAAAAGAGATAAAAACACCTGAAACATTTGAGGGGAATGCTTGGCTCGGCCTCAAGCGCATGTTTCCTCCCGTGTTTAGTTGCTTGTTTGGCTGCAGTATTCGGAAAACAACACCCTGTACGCTGTCTGCTTTGACAGAAGAAGAAACGCAATAAAAGTAAGAAAAAAACACAAAACATCTCTGAGGCTGAAACCAAAGACAGTATATATGTTCCTCATGTTTCCTCAGAGTCTCCCGTTTTACAGGATTGTAGATGTTTAAGGGCATGCAGCACAACCTATTGTGACCGCTGCTGCTGCAGCGCATCACCAGCGCAATGACAAACACAACAGCGCACAAGAAACCATGAGACTGACAACACGCAATGACAACACCCGACTCAGTGTTCCCGCCATTGGCCCGATCCAGCGGTCGCACCAGTGGGCGAACCCTGCTGGCCCACCAAACATAACATTGGAAAATGCCTGGTGGCATTTGACAGCAGAAGCAGCTGAACACAGCATTGTCACAGCACGCATTTGTTGGATTCCGGACGATGCTAGTGAGCACCTGCCCTGCTAATTACCATGTTGTGCTGCATGGGATGTGTAGGACCGCACCAGGTCTGCCTCGCAACCTTGCATCAGGTGATACTGAGCCCCCGTCAGTGAATTTCCTCGGGTCATCGTCATCCAAGGCCTTCAGAAGAGGTCTGTAATGCCCGAAGTGAGATGGTGTGAGTGACCAGCCAACTTCACAGCTAGCAAGTTTGCAGCGTTTTGCCTTTTCATCCTGAGCTCCTGGAGGTCGCTTCAACATGGTTTGAAGCTGATCCTTGGTTCCTTTACGCGGCTGACACCCAGTGATGATGAAGCCCGCTACTGCCTCCATAACTCAGGATCCAGCATCTGCATCCTTGTCGTTCAAGATTTTGTCAGGAGGACTTGTGTCGACTACATACTACAGCCATGTAAGTGGCCCTGGTCCGATTCAATGCCGTTCGGCTTGCTTCCAGCTAGGACTGAATGGCCTTCATCTCCTCCAGCAAGCCCTGGTACGTCTTCTTGGCGAGGTCAATTCGTCCTTGTAAGTGTTGCTTCTTCTGAGAGAAGTCCCTCAGCTCAAACACTGGTTTTTTCAGCCATCCTGCATCCTTCTCCGTTTCTGACGGCATGGTGATCTTCTCCATCTCTTGGACCGGGCTCTGATGCGTTGGAATGCCAGCACTGGGTTTCTGACGGTCACTTCCTAGAGAGGCAGAACGGTCCTTTCAAGAGCTCCGCGGTAACCCTTTGGATCTTGATTGGGTTTGGGCGCTTTCCCGGAACCCAGACCAGGAGGTGGTGCCTGCGCGCATGGGTCCTTACTTCTCTAAATTCTGCCCACGAATGGTCTGCTGCACACGAATGACCCCTTCCTGAACTTCAAATCTTACGGTCGGTGGTTCACAAAACGTCTACTGTACTGCATTGGAAAGGTTCCTTCCCCCTTCAAATTTTGCACTCGCGTGGCTCACAAAAGGCAAGCTACATTGCAATGCCTCTTTCTGCCCGCGAGTGGCGCACAAAAGGTATGCTACGTTGTAGTGGCCCTTTCCCGCTCCAAATTTGTCTTCGGATAGCGACCCCTTCCTCCTCAAACCCTCGGGGGCCTCACAAAAAACATGCTACGTTTGAACAGTGGTCGTAAAAGGTATGCTATGGTGGAACGGCTACTGCCTGCTCTAAACCTTTACCCTTGGGTGGCTCACGGAATGGCCCATCCTCCTCAAAATTTTGGTTTGGGCGGCTCACAAGGTAAGTAGTTTTGCGAATCATCACGAAAGGCCTGCTACGTCTACGTGGTTTTGTTTTTGCCTGCACTAAACTTTGCGCTCGCGTGGCTCACAAGGTATGCCACATTGGAACGGCCCTCTCCCGCGGTTGGCCCACAACAGATATGTTGCATTGGAGTGGGCCCTTCCTGCTCTACAATTGTTGTCGGGTGGCTCACAGCTATGCTGTGTTGGAATTGCAAGTCTTTTGCCTATAGCCTAGGACGCTACTAGGGGCTCCTGGCCTTACTACTAGGAGCAAGGATGCTACTAGGGGCTCCTGGCCTTACCACTAGGAGCAAGGACGCTATTACTAGGGGCTCCTGGCCTAGGCTTTTGAATCATGGGCCGGGGAAGACAAAGCCAAGACTGGGGAGTGTGCTGTGCGGGCCATTCGGTGACCTGGCGCACGCCTACTCACAGCAGAATCTCAATCTTTTTCCAAACACGCTGATCGCAAGTAACGGCGTTTAGCGTCAAAGATCGTCAAAGGGTATGTGACAAGGAAGCCTCCAAGGCGCAGAATGTCTTCAAGCCTGCTTTTCTTGTCTGAAATGTCCTGTGGAAGCCTCGAAACCAAAAGCCTCGGACGACCTGGCATCTTGAGGATCTGCATGTTTGCTCCTCCGCATGGCAAACACATGATCCTGGCACAATTGGGAGTGTGCGACGGTGCAGCCAACATACACATGTACAATCGAGTATATACCAGTAGTTGTTCCGCATGTGCAAAGCGAGGCGTTTTCTGCGAGCGCCATGCCGGTGCGGGAGCGAGGTGCCGCCCGAGCCACACTAGGGTTTCCAGCGACCTGCTTGAGCACTAGTGGCCTTGAGCGTTCATTGGGGGACTAGTCAGACATACAATTATAAGTACAATTATATATATACATAATTATACATACCACATTCGCAAAATGAACTTCGGTAGCTGCTTCCTTGGAAGCCAACTTGTTTGCTTCTGTGTTAGGGACTTTTTATGGCTTGTATGGACTGGCAAGAGGGCGACAGTGCTTGTCTGGAATGAATTTCTGCGGTGACAGCTGTAGCTAAGGAAGCACGTTCACAGGCTGTCAGCACCAAGCGATGGTAATCAATGCACATCAGTTGTCCCCGTGTGTCCGAGTAGGTTTCTGAGGTGACAAAAACTGACTCGGACAGTAAGTTCTTCGGCTTTCATCGCTTGTTTGGCCGGGAAAGCATGAGAATCCGTGCCATCAGCTCCAAGGCACTCACTTTGCATCACAGCAACCCGATCAAAAAACTGGACCCACGTGTGGATGAAAGGGAAGTACATGGAGGTCAGGATTAAGGAGGTGATGCGCTTGCTGTCCACATCCTTTGTCTGATTTCGCCGGAGGTTCCGAGCAGTTTCTTGATAATTCTCGCGGAGCTCGTACCAGGCGTTCCACCTTGCGCAGCGAGCCGCTAAATACAGTGGTCTTCTAATTGTTGAGTCCAGTCCACTTGCCTACTGGGCTGACACGCTTTTATCTGCGGCTGCAAACCGAATTCCCCAGTGTTCTGCTAAGAAATCGCATTTTCAGGTTTCTAAAATTTTCTTATAGAGTATGTGCCCGAGAAGTCAAAAATGTGCCAGCTTGTTTACGGGTCTAATTTGGATGATTGGCCACAATGGCCAAGCCACATGTTGCACTTTTGGTCCTCGATGCCACTGGCATTAACGAAGCCGTCGAACAGGTTTTGAGTGCCGTTGAGAAACTGCAGCTCCTGTAGGGCGTGAGTAGAAGACTCAAGTCCCGCAACATGTGTGATCAAAAGCAGGCATTGTTTTCTAAAGGGGTGCTCTTTTGATTTGGGAATTGTTTGTGTTTTCCCTTTTTTCAAAAACATTGGAATAGAGCAGGTTTCTTATTAGCACCTAGCTAATTACAGCAATTTGGTGTCCTGAGCAAAGAGCTGACCAAATACATTGGAATAGTGCAGGCTTCATATTACTCCGGGGTGAGAGTAGATGGCGAAAGTTTTTCTTTTTGAGCCATGTTTTAATGCGCCATCTATCCGCTTAAAAATATATGTTTATAGGGCGTTCTGCAGAACGCTTGGCGATGTCAAAGTGGCATATTCACAAATGGCGCAATGGGGCACATGGCAGTTGCATTTGCGCCAACAACTTCCTCAATTTGTTGCAGAGTTTTGCAATATCAAATGTTTCCCATGGGTTGAGAAGAAAGTCTTTTTTGCAATTCTTAACTTTCAGGATATTCCTGGCCCAATTCTGGCACTGCGCCTTCTATGACCCATTTTTGGCAGCGTGCGACCAAAAGAGGCTGAATTGGGCCGTCAATAGGTTACTTTAGCGTTCAGGTGCAGCACACCTGGCGCAATCTACCTTTAGGCCGTTAACCACTGATCATTGAACAAATTGTGCCATCCTCTTTCCCGGCGGTGTAATTGCTAGCTGATTACACAAATTTGGGAGCTGTCGTAGCTGGCACAATACATTGGAATAGTGTAGGTGTCAGAGAAATTCCTACCTATCACAACAGTTTGGTGCAGTTAGCAGAAAAACAGAAAAGAGACAGAGAACTAGCACGGGAGGCATATACGATTGGTTAGGAAGTTTTTGCCCCGGGGAGTTCTCCTTAAAATATTGATTTCGTGGCAGGCGCGGGTGTCGGAGATAAAGTGCAGATTTCGTGGCGCGGGGGGGTTGGGGCACAGCAAACAAATGGAAAAGCACAATACAAAAAGAGAAAGGCAGAAAAGCAACAAAACCAAAGAGCAGAAAGACAAACACACAAAAAGCAGAAAATTTTTAAAAAAAAGCAGCAGAAGCAGAAAAGCAGCAAAAGCAGAAAAGCGACAAAAGCAGAAAAGCAACAAAAGCAAAAAAGCAGCAGAAGCAGAAAAGCAACAAAAGCAAAAAAGCAGCAGAAGCATAAAAGCAACAACTGCAGAAAAGCAGCAAAAGCAGAATCCAAAAAATAAAAGTATAAATTACCGAAAAAACACCCATCCAATTTCTAATGTTTTCTCTGTTCTGAGCATCGCTCCACCAATGTCCAATACAAAACTCATACTCTTCCAGCTTTAGGCTTCTTGTTGCGGCATGTTGCGGTTGCGGCCCATCACCGAATAAACCCACTTTCCGCATTCCACTGATTCATTCGCCATAGCACTCAGGAGTCCACATGACAAAAACCAGCAACTCGAGTGCTGTTACTAGTTGGGAACTTAAGATGCTTCTACTTCCTTGGTGGGCAACTGTCCCATGCAAGGGGTTCGGTATTATACCCAATGGGTAACTACAGCCGTGCAATATGTTTTCTATCAATCTCCGGCGACCCCGCAATTACAAACAATATGGATAACAGGTGTCTTTGAGCAATGACTCTGTCCCAATGAACCTCCTCCAGCTGTTCTTCCAGTGCGAGGCTGAGATCACGCCTGTTGTTCGAGACCAACCAATGGTTGTACCTTGCATGAGACGCAATTGATACAAGATGATCCAACTACATCGCGTCATCACTGTGTGTCACGAACTCCTCAACACAACTCGTGGACTCTGATGGGCTCTGACTCTGAGTCATCTGACTTGAGTGATCAGAAGTTGGTGCTGATGTGCTGATGTGCACCAGGATGCACCAGGCTACTTTAGGCAAGTGACAGGCTCTGGATTCGACTCTTCGGCTCTCTCAAAAGGAACACAATGGTGGCATCTGGGGCAAATTCCGCCAAGATCTTAGGCGGTGAAATGTCGAAGGCATAGAACCTCACTTGCTGGTGTTTTATGGCCCCTTTGCCTTTTCCAAACCACATGTTTGACCACATGTGTTACACCAAAGGCCAAAAGCACCGCGCCAAACAGGGTGCCGAACTCATGGCAGTGTCTCAAACCACCAGTCAAACCCCAGCATAAAGTTGTGCCAAATAATTAAGTGCTTCACACTTCACTTGATGTGGCGGCCAGTGTCTTTTCCATGTCTCTCGGACTTTTGGTACACATTAAGTCAGTTCAGGAACTCGTTGGAATAGTAATAGTTGGGCGTGGCATCGACTGGCAAAACATCCTCGTCGTCATTGTGCTGGAGCTGTCCTCGGTTTGGCACACTTCGACTCGGAGCTCCTTTCAGTCAAACTAAACACCTTACTTCCTTCTCTCGAGCTGTTGAACAGAAGAATTTCTACTTCAAAACAGGACCTGACTATTTGCCATGCTTCACACCGATCCGTGCAACCGTGTGTCCGAAGTACTCTTGGTAGCAGTCGTGAACACCTTGAGTGCCATTCCATGCCTCATACCTTGGCAATGCATCAGTCTTTCTCACTTCAAACTCCACATGTCTCATGATTTCTGGAGCTAAGATTGGCAAAACGTATGGTATGGCTAAAGAAAAACCAAGATGCAAGCAACCCAACTCCTTCTTGCCTTTGTGGCCGGGATCAAGAACCTGGAACTCACGTGCTAGCATTGCAAAAGCTTCGGAGGTGCCGCCTTTGTCAGCTCCAACGATCACAAGACTTGGCACTGCTCCATCAGACCTTTGAATGTACAGGCGTGCTGTTCTGATTTCTTGAGATCCGAAATCTGGCGCTTCAGGTGCCCCCATGTCTGATCGCAAACGTCTTGCTGCCGGAGCTGGACTTCCCGGAGAACCTTGCATCCTCATGCTTCTGAGGAAGCCGCCTCCGTTGCCAATTCGCAAGGGGGTTGAAGAGAACCGGATTGAGGACACCGAAAACTCGGTTTCAATTTCCCAATAGACCCCAATCAGGCCCAACACTTCCAGCAGCAAGAGTCTGTAAAGCCAGATTGAGGAGACTGACATGGCAAAGCCCGAACAAACGCCGCCGCCACCCTTGAGCTGCTGGCTGGGAAAGCAAGAAGCGAGGACCAAACGGGCCAGGAAGGTTGGAGAACTACATGACGTCCTTCCAAACAAACAACAAACTGGGGTGACGGGAAGGAAAGGGATGCAACCATGCTTCCAAGGCGATGTGATCAGGACATTGTGACAGGATGACTCGCCAAAAGTTCAGCTGGTGAGTTTGGGTGTGCAAATCAACGTTTGGCGGCCTCAAATTGGCTTGGGTCCGTATGGGATGCACAGTGTGCTTTCGTCTTGTAGTAATTGTATAGAGGGGTTGAACAAGCAAAACCGCTGGTAAATTAGAAATACGCGTCCCAACTTCCTCCACTAAATTGGTTGTAGACTTGCTGGATGGATGATGGATCTGAAAGAGAAATCCCCTTGTGCATTCGTGCACCAAAAAAACAAGGTCAGGTGCGCCTGGGAGAGCACACACTGGCTTAAGACCCTTGAAAAACACTGAAAATACCATGCAAACTGATTTGAAAACTAGGCGAAGCATACTTTTCCATCTCAATTGACAGTTCGATCTTCGCCTGCCCACTATCATGTAGTTACATGTATGTAAATAGTTCGCAATTAAGTCAGTTATCATCAGTGTCGCGCTTGTTTGACTTTTGTGGATGTTGTTTTAGGTACCCTTTTTGCAAGCAAAAAACACTTATATAAAAGGAAGCCAAAGGTGCTTTCGATTGCTTCCTAAATTCTACTTGTTCCTTCACCTGGAGTAAGTTTCATCAATTTCGGTACTTTATACAATAGTTCCATCAGTGAGTGTTGAACCTCAAAAACTCTTCATTGTTCCTCTCTTGAATATGCAGCGGCCATTATCATAAGTGTCAAAGCTTCTGCCCCACAATTTCTGAGCTTGAGCAGCGCCTCTAACAAGAGGATTGCCTGCTGTAATATCTAATATTGTTCTACTGCTTTTTCCCAACTCATTGCCTAGAATAAATCTGTAACTATTACTACCACCATCAGAATGATGAAATGTAAGCCTCTTGTTTGCTCCAGAAAATTTATTATCTTGCAGAATGTCTATCTATCACCAAGAGTAATCTCCGTTCTGGTTTAGTATAGCGATATTACTTGTAGAAGTAACATTGCCACCAAAATAGGAAGCACCATCAACAGTGGATTCATTTGTGCTATCTTGTGCTCCTATCATTGTTCAATAACCTGCTGCGTTGCCAATCCTGACACCAGCATCAGCAAAGTAGCTTGATCTCATTTCTTGACCTGTTCCACCTAAACAAGAAGCATCTAAAAACTATGCAACCGTGCCCCCAGAAAAAGAATTTTATTGAATATAGGCTATACCACTTACCAAGAGTGTCTGATATGCTACATGTATAGTGACGGACTAATACTCAGAACAGCAACATGTTTCAATGTTTAAACCTCCACACTTAGAACATCTTGGTGGATGCTCAAATCCTAGGGTACAAATGCTGATATACATATACATATATACATTAGACACCGTAAGTATGCATTCACACATATACACATACATACAAACAGTCACACATACCACTGAGATCCACTGAGTATATAAGTTCCTTGCTTGCCCACATGTTGACAAAAACAAAGTGACGGACAAATACAAAAGAACAAAAGGCCAAACATGTTCAGACATGAGGTATTTTGATGTAGTGTTTCTAATTGTGGGGCTGTTACGGGGTCAACTTGACATGTTCTAAGTGCAAATTGGCAATGTTTTAAGTGTTCACTTAGAAGAATTGTTTTCAACGTTTTGTTCTTATTTGTCCGTCACTGTAGGTTAAAGACAAAATTTGTACAAAGAAATAACTTAAAAACATATATAAAGAAAAATATAAACCAAAGAAGAAACACACGAAAACAACGTTTGCGATCAAATGAGTACAATTTTAAAAAAAGTCCAAATCCTATACTAACCTCATTTTATCTAAAACATTTTGCTTTTTGTATTTTGTTTTGTTGGGTATTTTGGAATTCTATCTAGTTAAACCTTTGTAGGCCTGGTTTTGGTGATATTGGGCCACAATTCACTGTAAAACATAGTGACATAGTGCTTTTGCGGCATTGTTTGCACACAAAAGCATCCGTTCTGAAAAACACGGGGGGCTCTTCAAATGCAAAATCTTGGAGTCCCTGCGTTGTCCAATCCATGTTGCTCACTGGGTGCTTTTCATTATCAATTGAGGTGTTGCCAGTCGCGAGTCAACTCATTGCATGAGGCAAAAAACAAGACTGACAAAGTGCCTCAAATTGCAATAGATATGACCCGCCAGAAACGGCATTGAACAATAAAAATAACATAAAATAACACAACGTGACAAATATGTTTTTCACACAACCATACTGCCAAGATCTGCCAAGCATGTCATCAAATGGATGGGCAGCAGCTATGGCGCCCGACCCTCGGCCGCATCCTTCTCCTGACCACATTAAGTCTATTCAGAGCTCAAACCAACTAAGAAATGGGCATGGGCCTGGGCACTATAGATCTGCGTAAACTAACATCATTTAGGAATCATGGACCTCTAAACTAACATCATTGGGGCTGAGATGTTCGATTGGTGGATGATTGGTGGATGTTGGTGCTTCTTTCGCTGTGCCGTGTTCTCCGTTCTCCTCAAGGCGGATGCAAATCGATGCACCGCCAATGTCCCTCACCGCCGGTGTGGTGAGATGGAAGGCCCGGCCACGAAGGGAGAGGCCCTGCACCTGGAAGCCACGACCGGGGTACACTGGGCCTTCCCAAAGACCTAGCTGCAAACATCGGTTAAATCAACCCTGACTCTGTCAGCGCTCCGTCACTGCCAGGAGGATTTAGACTCTAGACCCTCCATCTTTTAAGGCCAAGGTGATGATGATGTCACCCACATATGTTGAACTGCTTGGAACAACCCATCCAAACGATCCAAACCTGGAAACAAACAATAATCATCCATCATCTCAAACACCGGCCCCAACACCCCTGAACATGGACAACCCTCCCTCTTCACCATGGATGTATTTTTCTGCATCCCTCCTATTTCGTGCCTTGCGGCGATGGGCCAACAGCTGCACCTTCCGCAGGGCGTCCCATGGGAAGGTTGGAGAGAAGCCTGGCAGTGGGAGAGCCACAAAGCCATCCGCAGGATCAGAATTGGGCAATCAATGGATGGAAATGGAAGAATCTGGGTCATCCATGAGTTGGCCTCGTGTTCAATGGGTGGATAAACTAACCTAACAGAGCGGGTTCTTTCTGGGAATTCAGGGAAGGCGCCCCCAAAAGGACTTGATAATGGGCTGCACTCCGGTTATGCCGTGTATATAGACCCTTGATTAAAAGAACTGAAACCAAATATCCCCACCATTTGGATTTGCAGGCGTTTCATTAATCAGGGGTCAGGGGTCTACAAATTATGTACATATATAACATATACATATGTCATATATGATCATATATGTATAATGGTAGATTATGGATGATAATGGTGCCTCCACCATGAATCAACATAAAAGTTTACTTGGGACATCTACAGTATAGCTTGTGTTCCCTTGCTGGGGATGCCTTGAAAATCCGGTGAGTCCAAATTTTATCAAGAAGCCCCATGTCGCCAAATATCCATGTCTATAGTGGAATCGGAATGCTAGGGCCAACTGTGCCCTGCAAATCACGAAAGCCCTGCACAGCAGCTCTGCGCGGAAGATAGGAACGATCGCACCAACAAACCTAGTAACGATCGCCTTTGAGTTTGAGGAGACGCTCGTCCTCGAGGGAGGAATGTTGCACTTTGTTGCACTCAGCCTGACCTCGCCACCAAGACCCACCCTCGCCTAAGTTGTTCCAACACACGCGTTTTCTGTGTCCGTGTGCTCATCACATATCAAACATCTCGTGACATATCATGCACCCTGCACCTGTGGGAGCTGGAGTGGTGCGTGTGACCCGCACGGGCCCACGGGCCAGGCCACTGGCCCTGGCGGTGTGCTCCACTTCGTGCTGCGAATTCAAGGCATCGAGTACGGGTGGATGATCGTCGATTCGTAGGTCTACGGAGGAATGGTCAGAGGGTAGGCCAAGATCCAGATCCAGATGCAACAATTGGAGGTGCCACCAGTTCCATTAGATTAAATGTCCCAAGGTTGAGCTTATTGGTGCAATGGCTCAAACCATCAGCCTTTAGATGACCCAGTCATTGTCATTGTCAGTCCAACACATTCAGCCCCAAATGAATAACCCACCTAGTCACCTAGTTGTTCAACCTATCCAAAACAAACTCCCGTAGGACGCAAATAGGACGCCTTCGCCCCCTACGGAAGCAAAGAAAGTATGAAGAAATCACGGAAGTACGTCGATTGTTGTAGAGAAATGGCTTTTGCATTGCACATCCGACCCAACCCTTAGCCGATCCTTGAGAGGGCCATCGGCTGAAGCCGTCAAGGTTGATCCATGTGGATGGTGCTCAGCTTGGCATGTTGGAAAATGCTTAGCTCCTTGGTCTCATGGCCTTGAAGAAGTCAACTCCGAGTCCAATGGAAGAAGTAATGGGATGGAACCAACCATGATTAATCTTATTAGTGTCGAGCGAGAGGCATCTTTAGGGCAGCTATTGTTTCACAACATGCTTTGACATGTTGTGGCCTTCACACAACTGGTGGGTGAGGGTTTCATCTTTGTATTTAGAGTCTAGGTCAGTCTAGGTCCCCAATCGACCTGCAACCCCGCATGTGCCCAATCTTGGATAGAAAGGTGCGGTGCAATTTGGTGCCTGGTCACTTCCCAAGTAGGCGGTTGGTCAGTGCTCAAAAGGCTAGCGGCTAGCAGCAATTCCTTGAGCAGTCTTCAAACCTGAAAGCATCTGCGGGCAAACGTGTGTCGCCAGCCGGGGCTTGGTAGGGTGAAAGGCCTGGAAACGAGGAGTCAGGTGATCAACGGCTGGCTACTTGCGACGATGGGACAAGGGTCTTGGTTGCCACCTGAAGCACTGCGCAACATGCTGTCTTTGCTGAGGCTGGGAAGAGCATCTTGTCTGAAGAGGAGCTCTCTCAAACCTGAAACCCAAGCTGTGATGTTCACTTGGGCAACGGCAGTGGCCCTTTGGTTGTTGGACACAGCCGTCGTCATGAGCTTGTTGAAGGTAACCTGAAGGATCCTGAACGTATATGCCTGACCTGGGCGGCTAGGCGCCATTCCAGTGATGGAAATTGAGAGCTCTCGCAAAGCCACCAGGGCAAACAAGGTCTGTGAATCAAACGACAAGCTCATGAACTGGATGGATCCTCAAAATTCAAACCACCATGGCCGCCAAAGCAATTTCGAGCCCCTCATGGGCTCTGTGGAAAATGGGCTGTCCAACTCTGGGCGATGGAAGAGGACTAAAGAACGGCACCGATTCATCATGGATAGCTGGCTAGCTCTCATGCGAGATCACCAACCTCCTCACACAAACATGGAAGCGGAACATTGCGATGAGAGATGAGGTCCTACGCTATGCGCAGGGGGTCCTGTGCCATGGGCACTGCCATGGGCCTATGTTCCACTTCCACGTTTCTCTGAGAGGGGGTGCTTATCAGAAGCTAGCAAGCGCACAACACAGTAGTGAACTGTTCAATTTCAAAGCCCCGTGGTGAGTTGGCAGCCGCTGGTGAGACTCAGATTATGACTGGCGCAAAGCCAGATCCCAGCGAGACGAAGGCTGCAAACCAATAGGATGAAGACTCCGCAAATGAACAAGCATGCCAAAGGACCTTGGGCAGAGAAAACAGTTTAGTGTGATGTGTTGGCTTTCTTGAGTTCAGGGCACTTTGAACAAGGACCAGGACATTCTCCCACAGTGATCATCAACAGTTGCAAGCGCCCGTGGAATGAGTCTAAAAAGCATTGAAAACGGTTATTGTATAATTAGATGCGTACTAGCAACTAACCACAAGCATCGGGTCAGCGTTAATTTCAGAAAGTAAAACGCTGGGTTCGGAAACTCAGGTTCGGAAACTGGAGCGTGGGGTTCGGGAACTGGAAGGTTGGGTCTGGAAGCTCGGGTCGGGTTGGGAAGCAGGAAACGTGGTTTTGTAAACTCGCACGTTCGTTTGTTCAGCATCATCAATATCAAGTTGTCAACCACACCATTTCATTCACCTAGCCCAGAATTGCGGGACCTGCAAATGTCCGCCCGCTTTTGACCAGTCCAAGCAGCAGTCGTAGTGCCTGTTCCGTCGCTTGCGCTGGCCTTTTTGTTCTGCCAGCTCCAATGTATGTTCGAAGGACTTGGTGTCACTCTTGGCGCTAATCGCACGCACCGCGCCTGGCGGTGGAGTCGGCGATGAATCGGCATCGTCGAAGGCTCTCCCATGACTTTCTCTCAGGGATTCCAAGGCCAAGGACAAGTGCTTCACGATATTGACGTAAGAGCCTCAGGCTGGAGCATGGCCACCAAATTCAGGTATGCTACATAGATGTGATGATCTATGTGCATGTATTAGGAGCATAAATATATATATATATATATTATTTATGTGTTTATATGTATGTATGTGTATATATATATACATGCACGTATATCCGCTACAACCATGGGACCTATGTCTTGGCTGTCTTTAGCTCCCCCAAGGAGCTATCCAAATTTAAGTTGCTTTTCAAAGGTCCCAAACTCAAATGTCCACCATGTTTGGATCTAATGATCTATTTCTAGAAATTGGCATGGGGCGCCCCAAATAGACAATATTCAGAATGGATGTCAAGTCATGGAGTTGTTGCAGGACCGGCCCGATTGGAGATTCACTTCTATGAGGAATTGTTTGATGTCAATTCTTACTCATAAAAAATGCTAGTCTTACATTTAAATATGTATGCTCGAAGTTCTCTTGAAGTCTTGCTTCCACTTGCCGCAAATCCTTGAATCTATAAGTTCTTGGATGTCTGATTGCATCATATGAATTTAGATGGTCTTGCAGCTAATACCTTTGGTCTTGCAACCAAGAGTGGTGTAAGCAATTCGAAAGTTGTTTGACTCCAGGGTGCTTTGAAGCCCTTTGGCCAAGGTTGTTTTCTTTAGATACGTGGCTGATGGAAGAGTCAAGTGATTCATAATTCTTGAACATATAGTTTGGCCTAAGTACAGCATTCAAGAAGGTATGCCAAGAACCACCCACTGGCCATCACATTAGCATGTTTCATCATGTTTCTACGTACACAGTGCGCGCAAAAGAGTGCAACTTCTCTCGCTTTTAACTGCATGATAGCATCGTGTAGGTAATAGATAAATACACACAAGCTAGCGTAGTAGTTGCATGACATCTGATTGCCCAAACCACACTTGGTTCTAAAATATGTATTTGCTGCTCAGACTCTCACTTCAAACCCGCGGCTGCAGGACTGGGGGACTGGGGATTTGTTCTCTTGTCGAGGGACAGGCCACCGAGACCAAGGTCACAGCCAGGTGGTAGTTGCTGGCTGATTCCCACGTCAAGGTAAGCAAGGTGATCTGTAGCCAAAGGGATGGCAAGGCTTCCAATGCGATTTTGAATCCTCAAGGGGATTCAGCATCACGTTTACATGGGGTAGTGTTGAGTGCATCTCCAGGTTGCAATGCTTTATAGGCCAAAGTGCTAAACAATTACACAACAGCAGCCAGGGAGGTGAACACATTGCCAGCAAATCCGAAACGCCTGGCTTGTCGGAATATGAGGTGCTTGGACTGTGCTAGGAACCCTGACCAGTGAATGTTGATGTGGCCCCGCAAAACCCAAGGGCATCTTTGATCCCGTGGACTCGGGCCCACCGCTTCTGCTCTTGCTCCATGAGGGCCTCAAATCATATGTGAAACATGCTTTAAGGGCCCATACCAACAGCATGACTTCAGCCCCTATGGCCCCCAAAAGCTCCGAAACTTGCCACAGCTCCAGTCACTGGTCTGCTTTGCCAAGAATCGAAACGAGGCCTCTCGGCCCGGCACTGGCCTTAGGACGACGGAGCGCTGCTTGTTCTCGCGTCGGTCTTGGGGGTTCCCAGCAGATTTCCGAGATAGGTGTGCATCAGAATAGGGGACACCCGCAGGCTCTATCTGAAAAAGGACAGGTGGACTGGTTAGTACCAAAATATCCCCTGCCATATTGGGAAACTGGATGCGAAATGATGCGCAAGCTTGGCTTGAGGATAATGTGTGGTTTTGAATTTCCCAGGCATGACACCTGGGGTTGAAAACTCATGACAAAAATAGAAAGCACCGCAAAGACTCCACATAACCCTTCGGGTACAAAAGCGCAGGGTGCTATCTCCAGCCCAGCGGAAACTTGATGCACAAACCATTACAACACCTCCCCGGAGCTGCCCCTCAGGGAGGGCATGTCAGTGTCACCAAACATCGAGAAACCAAGAACGACATAACTCTAAAACTTGAGTTGTGTTTGCTTGCCTTCGCCCAGTCGCCAAATCTGATTGGACAAGGAAATCTCCACCCTCACCAGTGCTAGGAAGAGGTCATGCAGTAACATGGCGCCGCCGACATCTGTCATGTGGCTCATGTAAATCCACACCTGCCATCGGTGCTTCACCGCCTCTTCAACATCCTCATAGGGAAAAGCGTCCTTCAACCAAGGTCGGGGAAGTTTGGGCGAAACAAAATGCAGCCTTCACATGTCTTGAACTATATAACGAACTTTGGTGATCTCTTTGTTGGACTTGCTTATGCAAGTCACCTGCCGTCTGTCATCGGTAGTCTTCAAACATGATCAAACATGTCGTGTCTTTCTCCAGCTTCAAGTACTTCTTCCGGGGTCACCTCCCAAACGGGCTGTATATAATGTTGCTGTAATGGTTTGCTGTCCTTCAGGAGCTCCAGCTTCTCATGTACCTTACATTCTTGCCGCAGAAATTCCAGGAATTGCCCGACTGCGGAGATGCACAAGACCAGAAGAAGCACCCCGGGTAAGCCCAGGCGACCTTAAATTGAAACCCAAAACAATGCGGCTGACATGTCCAAACAGTGAACTAATGAAATAGGAACAAAACGGAACATGTGGCCATCCATTCACAGCAATCCATCTCTTTAGACTTGTGGCCCCTGGCACCGAAGCGGAAAAAACCATCAGCATGTCTCTCTTCGCCCAAGGTGCCGATCGCCGGGCCCAATACAGGCATGTTCCAGGAGGTCTCAAAGGAGGCCAAGCACCTCGATGCGCACATGGTTTCGGAGTTGGCCGCAGTCCAGGCGTCCAGTGCCGGGTCCAGGGCCTCGGTGAGGCTGCCCATGTAGATGCACAGTTCATGCACCTGGGCGAAGTTGCACGGACCACGGGGCACCATGACATCGGATGACTCGCCCAGGAATTCCAGCAAGGGCTAGTAGCGTCCTTGCTCCCAGTAGCAAGGGCTCCAAGAAGATGTATGCTTGTGAAGCTTCAGGTCTGACATCCACACAGTGCGCGTGTGAGTGTGTGTGCGTGTGTCACACTCTGTTCCTAAGAGTTTGGTTGCTCTAATTTTGCAAGCCGGGGGCCATCCCCCTCCCCAGTGGCGGATGGCCAACGAAGAGGCCACTGGGGAGGGCTGAAAACGTACCGGCGAAACTTTTTTGCTGGTTTGTTTCCATGGTGGTTCTTCGCATGATATTCCCCAAAACAGGTTTCCTTAGCTTTGGTAAAGTGCTAGTGAGTTTGTTAAACAGTTCTGTTCTTCGGACCCTTTCGCCTTACCGTTTTGCAGTAAAGTGCTAATGCAGTAACTAGCTTCCGCAGTCACGCAAAACCTTTGTTAAACATCTTCAAGTTTTTTCGGACTCACTCGCCTTTCCGTTCCCTCATTCCTTTCTTCGTGGAACAGAGTTAACTGCAAACCCATTATCTAAGTGTGTGCCGCTGTGTCGTCCCACTTGGGTACACAGTGTGATCCCCGTCACTGGGGCGCTGAAATCATGCCGGATTGCAACTTAATAGATTTTGCTGCTTTCTGATTTTCAACTCATCCACTGAATTTCCTGACTCAACACCGCCGGGTATACGGAAATTCAAAGCCGCCGGGCATACGGAGCATAAACCCCGACGAGTTCTCTACCCGAAACAACACCCCCCCTCTAATTAGGGTAACAGAGGGAAATGGTACTCGACACACTTGTGTGTCGGTGCCTTTCCCTCTGTTATCCCTGTTCTAGTCTACTCTACCCGGGCGGTTTAAAACTAAAGTCATCTAAAGTCCCGCACCCTAACTATTGCACCGAATTCGTTTGCGCTAAGTAATCAGTAACTCTAGAGTGCTAAGGATTCAAACACTCTGACATTGGTTTTCAGTTAACTCTATTCCCAAGTGGAAGGAAGGCGAAAGAACCGCAAGGTGAAAGGTCCAAGGACTTGAAGATGTTTAAAAAATTCTTTCTCTCATCTGCGGTGGGAGGAGCACGAATGCACGACAGCCGAAAGCGATCAGCGGTTGCAGAACTGCGGTGGGAAACCTGTTTTTGGGGAAGGACCACATGAAAAACATTGAAAAACCATGAATCAAACCAAAGGAGTGGACACCCTGGTCAACAGTTGAAAGTGCAGGTACGGAAGTTTGCGTCCAAACTTCCATCCAGTCGATTTCCATAGCTTCATTGGCGTAACTAGGAAATCGACCGTCACGCCCCCTGCATCCAAAACTCTTAGTTACAGAGGTTGACACACACACGATGCCGCTTTGCAGCGCTCGCACGGAGGACCTGAATAGGCACCTCAAAAACCTTAGAAACAAAAGAAAGAAAGACAGAAAGAGCAGCGCTAAGAGGGCAAGAGAGACAGGTAGAAGTAGAAAAAAGTGAATACTTAGCCCTTGACTGGGGTAGGGAAACGAGCCTCAAGAACAACCTAAAAAGCCTGAAAGAAAGCCCAACAAACGACCAAATGCACAAGAACGAAAGCGGGGGGCAGGGAGGTGTATGTACATGTGTGTGTCCGTGTGGGGTAGAGAACACGTTTGGGTTCATTCTCCGTTGGCCCGGCGGCTTCGATCAAAACAAAACAGGTGGGGATTCCGTGAAGCCCGGCGGCGTAAGTGGCAGTGAATACAGTGGTGAAACCAAATCCGTTAAGAGAATCCAACGAAAGCAAAACGCGGTGAAATCCGTTAGTGAAAATCCAGCATGAGACGGCGCTCCCTTGCGGGAGATCACACCCAGCACCCAAGTGGGACGACTGAGCGAGTCACACTCTGACATTGGTTTTCAGTTAACTCTATTCCCAAGTGGAAGGAAGGCGAAAGAACCGCAAGGTGAAAGGTCCAAGGACTTGAAGATGTTTAAAAAAATCTTTCTCTCATCTGCGGTGGGAGGCTCACGAATGCACGACAGCCGAAAGCGATCAGCGGTTGCAGAACTGCGGTGGGAAACCTGTTTTTGGGGAAGGACCACATGAAAAACCATGAATCAAACCAAAGGAGTGGACACCCTGGTCAACAGTTGAAAGTGCAGGTACGGAAGTTTGCGTCCAAACTTCCATCCAGTCGATTTCCATAGCTTCATTGGCGCAACGAGGAAATCGACCGTCACGCCCCCTGCATTCAAAACTCTTAGTTACAGAGGTTGACACACACACACACACATGTACATACATCCCCTCCCTGCCCCCCGCTTTCTCTCTTGCGCTTTCTTCGTTTCTTGGGCTTTCTTTCCGGCTCGTTAGGTTGTTCTTGAGGCTCGTTTCAAGTTTCCCTGCCCCAGTCACGGGCTAAGTAGTGCTCCTACCTTTCCTTCTTGCCCTTCTTGTTTTGCTCTTTCTTGTTTCCTTTTCTTTCCCAAGGCTTTTTAGGTGCCTATTCAGATTCAGCGCGAGAGCGCCGCAAAGCGGCCTGCTGTGTGTGTCACACTCTGTTCCTAAGAGTTTGGTTGTTCTATATAATTTTGCGAGCCGGGGGCCATCCCCCTCTGGGGAGGGCTGAAAACGTACTGGCGAAACTTTTCGAACTTTTGTCCACGCTGTGACTCCACTTTTGCTGGTTTGTTTCCATGGTGGTTCTTCGCATGATATCCCCCAAAACAGGTTTCCTTAGCTTTGGTAAAGTGCTAGTGAGTTTGTTGAACAGTTCTGTTCTTCGGACCCTTTCGCCTTACCGTTTTTGCAGTAAAGTGCTAATGCAGTAACTAGCTTCCGCAGTCACGCAAAACCTTTGTTAAACATCTTCAAGTTTTTCGGACTCACTCGCCTTTCCGTTCCCTCATTCCTTTCTTCGTGGAACAGAGTTAACTGCAAACCCATTATCTAAGTGTGTCTGTTGTTGTGTGGCTGTAGGCTAGAATGCGCTTCAAAGTAATTATACCTAATTGTTAGCTTTCACATTTGTAGGCAAACGTCCCACGTCTGCAGCGAACACTCTTGCGTTCCATGATCTTCCGTGCACTTACAGTACTTGATGAGTAATAGCAAAGTCAAACGGAGTGAAACTACTTGGCCGTGCGCAAGTTCCTGGCTGGAACATTAGCGCAAAGCATGCAATGAAAACAATGTCTTGCTACGCTCGCGTATGGCTTCCCAATTGATCATTTCCAAAGCTCAACAAACACCAAGCATCACCAAGCGGCTGGGAGCAATGCCATCCCCGGCTCTGGCCGCATTGCATCCAGGTGTTCTTGCCAGTCCTCTGCTTGGTCCTGCGACGAGTCCCAGGGCCAACCGACTGGGGACTGGGGGTACTGCTGGTCCAGTTCCATCTAGTTCCCGTACTCAACCTTGCTAGGACCAATCCAAACCAAGCTGGATAAGAACAATATCTTTGGGATATGATGATATTAAAATATATTAAGTCATATCATGTCAATGTGGACTTGAGACAGTGAAACGGTGTAATGAACTTGCGACCTGCCTAATTAACTACTGTGAAGTTAAAATGACTACATACAGACTTCATCCAGTCTTCAAGCCCATTATCATCTCCCTTGGCTCAATGATAACGCATTGAAAAACAAACACCCAAGTCCGTCCTGCAGCCAGGAGCACAAGCCCTCCCGGACGCGGACCTGCGCCGCCAGAGAGACAAAGACTTGAAAGAGGATGAACGCAAAGGTAAGCTGCGCAAAGTCCAGCTTGGCCATTGTGAAGACCAGGGGGGTCACCTGACGCGATCTTGCAAAGGTTGGGTGAGTTTGGAGAAAGGAATCCAGTGTCCCTGCTGTCCCTGCTTAGCCAAAACAAGAAAGACACCAACAAACACAAATACTGTACTTGTGCCAATGAGCCTTGTGGATTCACACAGCATCAGAATAAGGCTCTGACATGCTCCAACATGACCCATTGAACCCAATGAAACCCAATGAACATTGCACCATGGGTGGTTTCAGTTTCAGAGTGGCTACTTGTGTCTGTGCTTCAATATATATAGCTACGTCGAACAGATTAACTAGTAATTAGTTTTTAAAAACACACACATTATATAAACATGTACACTAACTAACTATATAACATGACACACCATGATCTTCTAGGTCCGACTTGGCGCCACGATGGCGATGGATTCATCCGTGTGTGGAGCGTCACCAAGGTTTCAAAAGCATCAACCCTGAAAGTTTCAAGCAAGACATGGTGCGATGACTGGAGAAAAAGAACGGCTGATTGATCCTATTTGCACCTGCGCATGAATCCAAGTCGCCAGAAAGTGGGCTAGGCCAATCCATCGACATGTCCGGGTGAGGCCTTTCAAGAAGGCCACTTCCTCTTCGATATCCTCACCATGCGGACCGTGCAAACCCCAGGCTGCTCTGCAGTTGGCTCATCCTCCCACCAAAAAAATACATCCTGAACATACAAGAACAAGATCGAACAACCGCCGTCAATCCCACTCCGAAAAACAAACACATGTCACATGCCTACCCTGAGTGGACATGGAGACCGCAGTTCTCTGTGGAGGTTGTAGGCCCACTAGGGGTCATCAAACTCCACTCTGTGTTGTGTTATCTTTGTTGTTGTTCGATGTTTGCCAGGGCCAAGATAAGGGAACACGATCCAGAACTTTGATCTTTACATGGAACCCGTGAAAACATGTCCTCCAACACAACGAAGAAACAAAGAACACCTGCTGAACACCCGCCGGAGGGGAAGGTCACACTTTTACAAAGCAGTTTCGGACTGTAGCGTGGTCCCAATGAAGTACAGGCTTATGGCTGGCAAGTGGAAAGCCATGGAAAGGCAGAATGCCAAGGGATTGGGAAGCAGGATCAGCTGTTCAAACCTCCCTTGATTTCGTGCAATTAACTTCCTTCTGGCTACATGTCCCTGATCTGGCCTAGGCCCTAGGCTGTTCTTCTTAGCTTTCAACCAATATAGGGTCACCGGATCGCCGAGAAAGGCGTGATGAAGACCGGTGAATTTACCTCCCCCTTGACCGGACCCACGTGCTTCACCGTGCATGGAAATTTAAGTTTCCCTACAAGTCTAGGAATCAAATGAAGAGTGCGAGCGCTTGTTCAAGGAAGCTCCCCCCCACTTCAGGCGGGGGGGAGCTTCCTTGAAGAAGCGTGAGCTAGCTTCTACTAGCTACCTGGCTACTACCTCCTTAGCTACCTAGCTACACCCTACCGCCCCCACGGCCGGGCTTAAAATACTTTGCAGGTCTCCCCATCGTCGACCCTCATCTCGATGGGCTGCACGTGCCGGAACCGGCCGCTGCAACACGTCCGGCAGGCACGTTGCAGCTCATGGGGATTGGGGGCCCAGGCCATGGCCGGTCAAAAGAATCGCGGAGCCCACGCACGTGGCCAGGAGGAATGCCGATCTGCTCCAGTACAGTCTCTGGTCCACTAAGGACAGCTTGAAACTGCGAAACAGCATTACAAGTTGCATGCTTGCAAAAATGAATTCTAAAGGCCATCATGACCCAAACTCATGTTTGGCTAGAGTCTACAGCCGCCCCTGCTCCCTCAAACACTGACAGCACGGGAGTGGAAAAGCCAATATATAATATGGTACGGAAAGGGGTTCCTCCAACCAGGGTTCTGGATGTCTACTTTGAAAGTCCATGTCCTGCCGCCATGGATCCACAACTTGTGGGTCTGGGATTTCTGGATGTCTTCATGGAGACTTGCAGACTTGGCCTTCTTTGGGCCTGCTACCCTTGACCTGGTCAAAAATACGGCAAACGCGAACGTCAAAGGACAATAGAGGCTACAATAACACTCGCAGTAGTTGATCCAAAACTGAGAACCCCCTGGCCAATTGACAAGGACTGGCCAACTAGAAACTGTTTGAAACCACTTGTAGCGATGCCAGGAGCCCCTAGTAGCGTCCTTGCGCCTAGTAGCGATGCCAGGAGCCCCTAGTAGCGTCCTTGCTCATTGCTCCAAGTCCAAGGGCAAGTACCAAAATCATGGTCTCCTCGCAGTAGGTGCCTAGTTCGCGGGCCTTTTCTAAAGCTAGAGTTCGCCAGCGGTCCTCTCAGTTGCCTGCGGGGGCAAGCACAGAGGGGCAATCAAGAAAACAACTGCCTGCCATTGTGCAGGTTCAGTGTCCAGTACATCATGCTGATACCTTGTCTTAGATACATGTCTCCGACTACTATGCCGACTGCTGAAGTCGTCGTATACTCACCTTTGAAGGAAGCCGATCTGGCCGAATTGCAAATAGTTCACCATTGAAACAAGGACCCCCTTCACAACAGTGCACTTACTTTATGCATGCAGCCATCTCAGGTTGTTAGGTTGTTAAAGTTCGGCCGATGATGTTCAACACCTAGCGAGAAGTATGGCTCTACCAGTGCAACCTGGCACGACATCAGCAAAACAATGTCATGCGGTTTTTTCACCCCAGAAAACTCAAATGAGGACTGCGGGAGTCACATCAGAATGGCTTCAACTATATATACAGTAGTATATATATTACACGTGGATGAGTGACACCGGCGACAAAATTAAAAAAGGCCAACCTATCACTGTGCAAGTGAGCATGCTACTATTGCAAGTGAGCACCTCAGGATACCGTACTGTATCTACAACTGACCCAAGCAACCCATCCTTTCCATCCTTCTGATCCCAGCAACCCATCTTGTGTCATTCAACACCTGAATAGCCTCTCTAAAAACGGTCAATCTCCTCTTTCAGCCCTCAGTTATATACTTGCAATGTCCCCATGGTTCTTTCCGATACATAGTTGCTTGCAGGAACTTCCCAACATAGCAAACCCAAACCATCGCAGAAACACAAAAAAGGCAACCACATGATATCACATGATCAAAGAAGTTTTATCTTACAATGTGGCCAAGTTGGTCCAAATGCGTGGCCCATCTAAACTACTGCTTTTGAGACTTTCCCAGCCATTCCCAAACTCTGAAACATCAAAATTTCACAAACAAACATGCCACGCTTTTGGGTTCGAGCTTGGGACCTAGGCCCGGGGTGCTGGCAATTCACTCCAAATCCAAGCCTCCGCCAAGCTGTGGCCTGGTGGGCAAGAAGTAGTGCGACCAGACGAGATGACAGAAACTAGAATCTATATCAAAGGGGAAAACACAAAGCTCATGTTCAAAAAGGTATGGGTATAGAACCCCGCTGTAAAAAGCATTGCTTTCCTTTTCAAATCTCGCTTGTTGTTCTTTGTTCTTGCATTGCATCTCATCCAGGAACCTTGCAAATTCAAAAGGACTATTTTTACACCAGGACAATCTGTGTGAGGCTTAATCTGCACTCCTTGTGGATCTTGTGGGTTTCCATTGGGTCCAGTCACATGTATGTAGATAGAATTCAACAATGAATTAAACCATGAGAACTCCTGCCATTCTGTCACGTCTGCCTGACACCTTCGACAGGAGCGTTCCAATTCGATACTGCCACTCTGCACTCTCATGTTGTCCACTGCGGCTCCGGACGTGCCGACACCGAAAAGCGCAGGAAGGTCCTGCGGAGTGACTGTGCAAAGAGACCTCAGCAGCGATCAGTTCAGGGAGGCATTTCTAGCCACTATAGTGCCATAGAAGGTGATTCGGTGAGTGAAAACCCGTGCCAAACAGGTGCGATCACATGGTCTCTTGGTACGTATGCATCTGCATATATGAATGGGATGCATGGCTTGGACAGAACCATTCACATCTGGCTGAACACAAGCCACAAATGAACAAAGTATTCAGTAAAGGATGCTCCGTCCAGGTTTTGACCGTTGAACACAGAACATCCTTGGCTCAAGCAGGCTGCAAGGGCGTCTTGTAGTGCTTACATTGCACTCTCAGGTCAACCAAGTGAAGCGACTGCTTCTCGATCTCCGCCCAAAAACATCCAAAAACTACGTTGGTTCAATCATGTTCAACCCATTGTCGTCATTGTCGTGCTCACCGTGGAAGTGTGCCTCAGAACCATGATAATTGACTGCTCAATGCTGCCAAATGAATGTTGTTTGGGGCATGTTGGTGGTGACCTTGGGCGTTTCAAGTTGTCAAAAAACTGCAATGTGATCAGAACAAAAGCCTTCAACACAAAATAAAAAACGTGTTCGATCGTTTGTTTTTCTCGCGTGCATCATTGTTTTTTTTTTAACCTAATTATGTGTTTGATATACCATGCCTTAGATGGGCCCCATGTAGATACACCCTCAGACTAGTAAAAGAAATATTCTGCATACCCACCACCTAAATTGTGAGTTATTCTATGTTCATGTGACATTTGGAATAACTTAATTGACGCCATTCATCCCCCCTGGAATAATTTGTTTTTGTATGTTTTTGTGATGTTTTATGCAATGTCGTGGATTTAAGGTTCAAATGGCAGTGCAAATCATGCCTTTCCACCTCTACTTCTGCGAGAGCCGGGAAATAGAAATGTGCAAAGGTGCATGAACAAAGGAGCTGCCCACCTTCATCCTGCCCGAGGGATGTCCGTTTCTGCAGGTCCACGAAAATGTGCGTTTGGAAGGCAAACCACACCCCGGTTGGTAAGGCGCCTTGTGTCAAACTCGAGCGGAAGATCACCACACTACCCGCAGACAAATATCCTGGGATGGCGTCGGAAAACTGAGAAGCGCTCAACAGTAGAAAGCTGAAGTCGAAAGCTGTTTGAGGGTCTTCAAGGCCGAAATCATCAACCTCAACGAACCACCCAAGAAGAAGAAGAAGAAGAAGCGATGGGTTCAGCCTGAATCGAAAACAAATCAGCACACTATCCCGCAAAGCGCCCAGAACAGCCTCAAATAGAAAAACACAAGCCAACTTCGGCACTGCACACGTGCGAGCACACACAGCAGAGCAAACATGTCAGAGCACATACAGCATTTTGATTGCATGGGGGGACAGCACAAATGTGAGAGAGCACACACGTTGGAACACATATTTAAAGACACACACATGAGAGCACAGATGTGCGAGAACACACAAATGAGAACAACATCTAAAGCATATGAAAGCAAACGCATGAACGCACACCTCATATGAAAGGACCAACATAAAAGTACACATATGTGACTGCACGCACTGCACGTCCAAAAGAACACATGAGGGAACACACGTATGAGAGCACACTGATAAGAACATGGGTGTGAATGAGCACACAATGACAGCACACACACACACACAACGAGAGCGCAGTCGAGGAAAGCACCCGCTCCAGCCATAGAGTTTGTGCGAGCCGTCGAAAAATGCACTTGGAAGATCTCGACGAGGCATGCTCGTAAGACCCCACCACACTGTTTGGGGAACAAAAGTGACACACAAAAGTATGCAGAAGTGAATCCCTGAAGGATCCCGGCAACTACTACCATGGGACCCCAGGAAGATTATGTAGACCCCAAAAACTGGGGTCTGAGTTCAAGTTGCCTAAGAAATTCTATGGAATGGAGATTGCACGTTAGACTCCACCCTGTCAATGACGTTAGACTCCACCCTGGCAATTTTTGGGTTTTGTGGACACCAGGTATGTTCAGGGGTCTGGAATGGTATTCTCATAGAAAGAACTTGTTGGGTTATTGCTATGGCATGGAGCTCTGCACGTTAGACCCCATCCTGCCAAGGTTGGGGTTTTGTGGACACCTGGTCTCTTCAGGGGGTCTAACATATAGTTCAAGCACCTCCAGATGAGCCAGGTGGCATTGTGGACTAGACCCTCCATGCTCCAACAAAGACATTATATAAATTATATATAAATTTGTATATAGTAAAATATGTTCAAGTTATATTAAATCATACTATGTTTTCTTGAGAAAGGTCTAACATGAAGTTCCTCGAGCATAAATGTCCGATTGGGCTACGTCCGTCATGATCCGGCTTGGAGGGTCTAACATAGTCAATTAGACAGGGTCTACAATCATCCAGACACCCAGTTAGACCTTTCAGCTGCAAATCCTAGGGGTCTACTAATGTTAGACCCTAAGTAGTTGAGAGTATCCTGAAGGCATATCAATGTCTGGAATGTCGGTTCTAGTTGTGGGTCACCACAGGGGTTCCTGGGCTCGGCAACTCTGAAATCTATAGCTACTATAGCTAGACGTGACAAACTCTTCCCAACAAAAACGCTTTGGGTCAGTTCAGATCAACCTGGCTTGGATCTCTTTGGTTGCTTGCACAGTTGGCACAGCGGAAGAAACTTCCAGGCCAGGAACTGACAGGGCCGGCTGAACTATAGTGATGAACACATAAAGAAACTGCTTAGGTTGGTGATTGATGCTGAAAGTCTAGCAGCGACTGTTTGAATGTTCTACCAGTCAATCTTTGTTTGCAGGCGAGACACGTGCAACATACCCATCTTGGGTACGAAAACGCTCGATCTGAACATTATCAGCACCTCAGTCACTTCCATTTGCTACCGTGGTATGGGCAAGA